GCCTGGACGACCTGTTCCGCCAGCGCTTTGGCCCGGCGCCCGACCTCCCGGACTGGCACAGCTTGCTTAGGCGTAGCATTAGGATTTTTGACTTGGACATGGATGCCATTGTAGCGGCCTTGCATGTGATGTATGCTGATGACTCTAGTGTGCTTCCCTCTTATTACCCCGTGTTGCCTAGTGTAGCGGTGCCTAGCGTAGACTCCCCTGCTGCGTCAGGCGTAGGATCTCCTGCTTTGCTTAGCCTTGGTGCTTCCACCGCTTCACTGCTGCCTCGCGCGACTGCTGCGCTTTCCTTCACCTTGGACTCTGGCGCCTCCCGGTGTTTCTTCCGCGACTCCACGACGCTGACGCCGCTGCCTGTTCCCGCTGCAGTTACTCTTGCTGACCCCTCCGGTGGTCCCGTCGTTGCCCGCAGTTCCACCTCCCTTCCCTGTCCGGCGGTTCCTTCGGGCACTCTCACAGGTCTGCATATCCTCTCGTTCTCCAGGAACCTAGTTGGTGTCGGCTGCCTCCAGGACCTTGGCGTCACCACTACGTTCCCTGGTCACGAGCGGTATGCTGTCTGTACCGAGGCCGCCACTGATGCCCCCCTTACCACTTTCCCCCGGGACCCGGTGTCCGGCCTGTTCACACTTGACACCGCGCCGTCCCCGGCTGGGTCTTCCCCCCAGGTAGCTGCGTCCACCCAGGTTGCAGCCGCGTGCTCCTGTCGGTCCCTCACTCACCCGACTCTCCTTTGGCACCACCGCCTTGGTCACCCTGCACTCCCACGTCTGCGTCACATGTCCCAGCACGGTCTCGTCCTTGGTCTCCCCGGTTCGTTCCCCGAGTTTCCCTCCTCCCCCGCCCCACCGTGCACGCCTTGTGTCGAGGGCCGGCTCCGCCGTGCCCCTCACTCCTCCTCTTTTCCCCCTACCACCGCACCACTGCAGACTCTGCACATGGACGTCTGGGGCCCAGCCCCGGTCCATGGGCCGCGTCGCGAGCGCTTCTTCCTAGTGCTTGTCGACGACTTCACGCGCTACACCACCGTCTTCCCCCTGGAGCGGAAGGCCGACGTGCCTGACGTTCTCATCCCCTGGCTTGTCTCTGCTCGTGTCCACCGCGGTCTCCCTGCCTTGCGCCTTCACTCCGACCGGGGTGGCGAGTTTGCCTCAGGTGTCCTTGGTCGCTTCTGTCGTGCGGAGGGCATCACCCAGACGTTTACCCTGCCGGACTCCCCGCAGCAGAATGGGGTCGCTGAGCGACGCATCGGTTTGGTCATGGAGGTGGCTCGCACCTCCATGATCCACGCCGGTGCACCCCATTTTCTGTGGCCGTTCGCCGTGCGCTACGCCGCTCACCAGCTTAACCTGTGGCCGCACCCCCAGCGGCCGCAGGTTTCGCCGACCCTTCTGTGGACCGGGTCCCCTGGTGACGCGTCTGCGTTCCGCGTCTGGGGCTGCCTTGCTCACGTTCGTGCCTCTGGCACGGACAAGCTCACTGCCCGCACCCTCCCCTGCGTCTTCCTCGGTTTCCCCCTTGACGCGTCCGACTGGCACTTCTACCACCCGCCGTCTCACCGCTTCTTTCACTCTCGCGACGTCACCTTTGACGAGTCCGTCTCCTTCTACCGCCGCTTTCCCCACCGTGGTCCCCCGGTTACTCCCCCCCTTTTCCTGGTTCCTCCCTCCCTGGTGGTCCCTGCCCCTCCCCCCCCCCGCCCCCCCGTCCGGCCCCCTCTGGTGTGTCTCACGTCACCCCCCTCCCGTCGGTCGTCCCGGTCGACGAGTCTTCTGACTCTGGTAGTCCTCCGGCGCAGTCCTCGCCGTCTGTCCCTCCCCCGGTGTCTCCTCCTCCACCGCCTCCGCAGCCGCCGTCGCCGCAGCTGCTGCAGCCGTCGTCTCCGCCGCCGCCGCCGTCGCAGCCGTCGCTGCAGCCGCCGCCGCCGCCGCCGCTGTCGTCGCTGCCGCCGTTTGTGGACTCTGGGGGTGTCCCTTCTGGGGGTGCAGGTGTGGAGGGTTCGGGAGGTAGCCGTCGCGCAGCTTGTGGCCCTGGTGTTGGTGTTGTGTCGCCGCAGCAGCAGTCCCCGCCTGTGTCCGCCCTCCGTCTGCTCGGCCTTCCGTCTCCTGACCCTGCGCCTGTTCCTCTCCTGCCGTCTCCCCCTCTTCCCGTCTACGGCCCCGTGTTCCCTCTGCCAGACTCGTCCCCGGCTCGTCTTCCCCCTCGTTCCCCTCCTGTGTCCCCTCCTCTGTCTCCTGACCCGACGCCGCCCTCACACGTCTGGTCTCGCCGCCCCTCTCGTGCTCGTCCTGTCTCCCCTGTCCCGCGCTCTCACCCTATGTTGCTCCGTTCCCACGCGTCTCGACCTCCCCTCCTCCCGTCTCCTCCTCCGTCTTCTCTTGTCGTTGCGTCTCCTCCTCTGTCCGACTCCTTTCGTGCCGCTCGTCCTCTTGTTCCTCGGGTCCTTGCCTCTCTCGTTACCGACCCGTCTGTTCCCGTGTCGAGTCTTGACGCCCTCGTCGCTGCGGTCGCTGACTTCGCCTCTACCCGCCGCCTTGACTACGCCACCGCTCTGGTCTCTCACCCTGCCTGTCCTCCGTCTGTCGGGGGTGCTCCTGCCCTCGGCAGTGACGTCCTGGAGGACCGCCAGTTTGAGCTTGCTTTCCTGTCCGAGGCTGCTCCCCATCTCTGTTCCATGCTGCTAGTCCCTGAGGGTGACCCAGACGCTTTCGACATCCCGACCCCTCGTACTTACGCTGAGGCGGTTTCGGGACCCTGGGCCTCTCAGTGGATAGCTGCCATGGAGCAGGAGATGGCATCTTGGAGATCCACCGGCACCTTCGTCGACGCAGTTCCCCCACCTGGGGTGAACGTGGTCGATGGCCGTTGGCTCTTCAAGGTGAAGCGCCCTCCTGGAGAGCCGCCTGTGTTCAAGGCGCGCTACGTGGCTAGAGGCTTCAGTCAGCGCGAGGGGGTGGACTTCTTTCAGACTTTCGCTCCTACCCTGAAGATGACTACTCTTCGGGTTCTGCTACACGTAGCGGCTCAGCGTGACTACGAGCTTCACTCCCTCGACTTCTCCACTGCCTTTCTTCAGGGCAGCCTTCACGAGCAGGTCTACCTGCGTCGCCCTCAGGGCTTTACTGGCACCTTCCCCCCTGGGACCCAGTGGCTTCTGCGGGCGGCCAGTCTACGGCCTGCGCCAGGCGCCTCGTGAGTGGCACGACACTTTGCGTGCTACCCTTGCTGACCTGCAGTTCTTTCCGTCCTCTGCAGACCCCTCGCTCTTCGTTCGTGCTGGCTCGACTCCGTTCTACATCCTCGTCTACGTAGACGACCTGGTCTTTGCCACTGCTGACAGGGACGCACTGGCCTCCGTGAAGGCAGAGCTGCTGAAGAGACACACCTGCACTGACCTTGGAGAGCTGCGCCGTTACCTTGGCTTGCAGATCTCCAGGGACAGAGCCGCGCGCACCATCACCCTGACTCAGTCACACTTGGTGCGCCAGGTCCTTCAGAGGTTCGGCCTTCAGTTCTCCTCCGCACAGCCCACCCTTCTTCCTCTGGACCACAGACTCTCCGCTCCAGTTCCTGAGGAGTCGGTAGATCCCAGTGGTCCTTACGCTGAGCTAGTGGGTTGCCTCATGTACCTGATGACTTGCACTCGCCCAGATCTCGCATACCCTCTCAGCATCCTGGCTCGTTTCGTGGGCACAGGCAGGCACCGACCTCAGCACTGGTCTGCCGCTAAGAGGGTTTTGCGTTATCTTGCAAGTACATCGGGCATGGGGTTAGTGCTAGGCGGACGCAGGCCAGTGGTCCTTACTGGACACACAGACGCTTCTTGGGCAGACGACGCCGAGACGCTCAGGTCTTCCCAGGGCTACTGCTTTAGCCTTGGTTCAGGTGTTGTCTCGTGGAGAGCTACCCGCTCTTCGTCTGTTGCCCAGTCCAGCTGTGAGGCTGAGATCTACGCTGGTGCCATGGCGGCACAGGAGCTCCGCTGGCTGACCTTCTTGCTCACTGACTTAGGTGAGCGGCCTAGCTCTGCCCCGGTCCTGTACGCTGACAACAGGGCCATGATCCTCCTGTGTCAGGAGCCTCGACTCGAGGGCAGAGCGAAGCACATCCAGCTGCGGTACTTCCTCCTGCGTGAGCTACAGCAGCGTCGCCAGGCTCGCGTAGTACACTTTGCCTCCGGTGCCAACACAGCTGATATCTTTACGAAGGCGCTTGCGCCTAAAGATCATCAGCGGCACTGTGTACAGCTTGGTCTGGTTCCTGTAGTCTCTCACTTACTCGGGCCTTGACTCTGTACTGTCCTATATATCTGTGTGTACACTCAGACTGGACTTGTGTCCTCTTACAGTGGTTGGACTAGTAGTGCCGCCCTGTACTAGTTCTTGCCTTGCCTGTACTCCTTCTGACTGGTCTTTTAGACCCTTGTCTCAGAGGCTGGACTAGTAGTGCCACCCTGAGCTGCTTGTCTAGAACATTCCCCTATGCAGTCCAGGGGGTGTGTCAAACATGTTTAGTTATCATGCTTGTATAGACTGTATAGGGTCATCTTCTAGAGAGTACAACAGTTAGGTATATGTTTGTGTACTCTCTCTCTCTATTCATCAATTTCACTGTTTGATACTCTAGCCTAGGGGGTGTGTCAACTTATATATATTCTGTATGTAGAAGTTATAGGCTAGCCTAGGTGTGTGCTTCTAGTGAGTACAACCCCAACAGGTTTCTCACACTAGTCATTCATTCTTGCAATCTAACATATAGATGGCACCTCCGATATGGCACGACTAGAACAGTCCCGAACCAGCGATTGGGTGCCAGACCTTTCAGTTTGAGCCTCCTGGGCCTTCTGGACCTCACTTGCCCTTCCAGGCCCATAGAGGCCCTTCTACAGCTTTCCCAAAGCTGCGGATCCTGCGTCCAGGATCACCCTAGGTATCTTATACATTGAGTTGTCTTCCATTTTTTTGTCATTCACTCGTTCACAGTTTCGCCATTGCCCTCCGCGCTACTCGGCAGTTCCTTTCATATCACAACCCCAATACATCGTGGGACATGAAAAGTCTCCATATTGAGCTATCCGAAAGCATGAGATAGGCTTGACCACAGGACAGATGCTACATTGTGACTTCTTACTGGGACTTTTAGTGATCCATGGAAACTGGAGGTAACAATTTCTGACTTACAGAATAAAAAATGAAAAATCACCTGCAACTGCAAGGAATCATGCCACCGGCAAAATTTGGTGTCAGTAGACACAGCAATGATTCCGCAGCAGGATCAGGATTCAGGCAGCAGGATCAGGCAGCAGCAGCAGACCGTCAGTCTACTCCTCTGTCTCCTTGTTTGCAGGAGGGGGCCCTTCCTTCCATGCTGCTTGCCATTGCTTGTCATAGAAGGTCCACTCCTCTGCAGCGTTCTTTATCTCCTGGACGTCCTCGTTCTTGCGGATCATCAGGACGCCAACGACGGTGATGAAGAGCAGCAGCTTGCCGAGGAATCCAGCTTGCTGATCCACCAGGCCAACACCAGTTGCCGAGTCAACAACGTAACCCATGAAGTATCCAACCATGGCAGCACGGCCTACAGAGAGAGAGAGAGAGAGAGAGAGAGAGAGAGAGAGAGAGGGAGAGGGAGAGAGAGAGAGAGGAAAGAGAGAAAGCAAGAGGGCGAGAGTGGTAGGGTTAGAGGACGCAAGTGAGGCAGAGAACGGAAGTAACTAGAACAGAGAAATATAAAATATCAGTGCAGTAGAGTGCGACAGCACGACTGAGAGGACGACCCATAGAGAGCACTCGAGGGTGAGAGAGATAGCAGCGACCTCCCGAGAAAGCGGAGATCAAGGGAACAAGGAGAGCGAAAGACCGAGGAGAGCGAAAGACCGAGGAGAGCGAAAGACCGAGGAGAGCGAAAGACCGAGGAGAGCGAAAGACCGAGGAGAGCGAAAGACCGAGGAGAGCGAAAGACCGAGGAGAGCGAAAGACCGAGGAGAGCGAAAGACCGAGGAGAGCGAAAGACCGAGGAGAGCGAAAGACCGAGGAGAGCGAAAGACCGAGGAGAGCGAAAGACCGAGGAGAGCGAAAGACCGAGGAGAGCGAAAGACCGAGGAGAGCGAAAGACCGAGGAGAGCGAAAGACCGAGGAGAGCGAAAGACCGAGGAGAGCGAAAGACCGAGGAGAGCGAAAGACCGAGGAGAGCGAAAGACCGAGGAGAGCGAAAGACCGAGGAGAGCGAAAGACCGAGGAGAGCGAAAGACCGAGGAGAGCGAAAGACCGAGGAGAGCGAAAGACCGAGGAGAGCGAAAGACCGAGGAGAGCGAAAGACCGAGGAGAGCGAAAGACCGAGGAGAGCGAAAGACCGAGGAGAGCGAAAGACCGAGGAGAGCGAAAGACCGAGGAGAGCGAAAGACCGAGGAGAGCGAAAGACCGAGGAGAGCGAAAGACCGAGGAGAGCGAAAGACCGAGGAGAGCGAAAGACCGAGGAGAGCGAAAGACCGAGGAGAGCGAAAGACCGAGGAGAGCGAAAGACCGAGGAGAGCGAAAGACCGAGGAGAGCGAAAGACCGAGGAGAGCGAAAGACCGAGGAGAGCGAAAGACCGAGGAGAGCGAAAGACCGAGGAGAGCGAAAGACCGAGGAGAGCGAAAGACCGAGGGGCGGAGGAGAGCGAAAGACCGAGGAGAGCGAAAGACCGAGGAGAGCGAAAGACGAGGAGAGCGAAAGACCGAGGAGAGCGAAAGACCGAGGAGAGCGAAAGACCGAGGAGAGCGAAAGACCGAGGAGAGCGAAAGACCGAGGAGAGCGAAAGACCGAGGAGAGCGAAAGACCGAGGAGAGCGAAAGACCGAGGAGAGCGAAAGACCGAGGAGAGCGAAAGACCGAGGAGAGCGAAAGACCGAGGAGAGCGAAAGATCGAGGAGAGCGAAAGACCGAGGAGAGCGAAAGACCGAGGAGAGCGAAAGACCGAGGAGAGCGAAAGACCGAGGAGAGCGAAAGACCGAGGAGAGCGAAAGACATGGGAGCACGCGAGTCAGCAATATCCAGTAGGTACAAGCACATGGCAACTGTCTGTTGGAACGGAATACAGACGGCTACGGACAGACAGACACTCCTGGTGATCGTTTGTCAGGCCTGATTTAAAATGATGAGCCCGATGTATTGTTAAAACCGAGCACGAAGCCAAAGTGGGAAGGTGAAAGCAAGTCGTGTAACTTACCGTTGAGCTTCTCAGCCTCGGGAAGGTGGAAGCGGCGGACCCACGCCCACCAGGGGACTTGCGAGGTGTCGAAGACCACGGGATCGTCGTTGTTCGACGACTGGGGGTTCACCTCCAGCCACTGCCGCCTCGCAACCTCTGTGGAGACGGCACACGGACGAGACATACAGATGGGCATGCTGTTTAAAAAACATCGCTGAAGGAATCGAGATTGCGGAAGCTAGGGATATCGAGAGAAGACCCTCGACACGATAGTAACACTTCGTGTTCGCGACGACGATTTGGGTTTCAATCATGGACGTCACCAAGACACGGAATGTTGACTAAGGACAAAGAGCGGTGTAGGTAAGCAGTGGGTAAAAGGTAGTCAGACGTTCACATTGCATCTTGAAAACAAGGCGGATAATGAAACGACGTTTTACAAGCCAGGAAAGTGTAGGTTCGATGCATATGAACCGAGGAAGGACCATTGTGGAATTCTCCCTTCAGAGGAGGAACGAGAAAGACGCTGACGGATTCCGGAATGCAAGGGAGTCAAAACAGGCAGTCAAGGAAAGCGAAGGAAAGCCAGCATGATCGTGCGAAGGGGTGATTCTTTACCAGCATCGATGACGGCATCCCAGTCGGTCTTGCCGTCGACGGTAAACTGCGAGATATCCCACGTGCCATTCTTCCACCTAGGATCAGAGAACTTCTCTCCGGTCACGACAGCCTTCAGCTTGCCAAGGGTCGCGAGGCTCGGGTCCTTGCCAGCAGCTCCCTTGCCGCTGAGGGTACCTCCCTTCTCGAGAGGAGAGACCCTCTTCTTCGGCTGAACGCCTTCGGTGTCCTCAGCCTCAGGGAGAGCGGCGACTTCAGCGGCGATGCTATCGGCATCAGCAGCCGCGCTCTGCACCTCAGCGGCAGCCCTGATTGCCAGGGATCGGCTGCGGGAGGCGGAAGCAGGCTTGGCGCAGATGAAGGAGCGGAGGGAGTTCGCCTGAGTGGTGCTGGACACAGAGGCGGTGCGGACGAGGCCGTCCGTCACGCCAACGCGTGACAATGTGGAGCTAACGGCAGCCATGATTGTGACTCCGCAGCGCAGAGCGACAAAAATTCAACCAGGCAGGAGCTGCTGCTGCTGCTCGCCGTGAATCCAGGAAAATTGGCGAGGGACGAAATTTTCTGGCAAGGTTAGAAGGAAAAGCAAATTCGCGAAGGTTTTTGTGAAGTATGTGAGGGGGAAGGTGGTGGCGGGGAGGGGGGGAAGAGGGAGAGAAGGGGATGGGGGGGGGTTGGGGGGCTCTCACTCGCTTCCCCTTCCCCCTTCCCCTTCCCCTCTTCCCGCCAAAGTGGCGTTGATCGAGGGAGATTCGAGGGACCCGCAAGATGGGGAATTGAGGGGGATGGGCGCAGGGCAGATGGCTGGATGATGGGGGAGAATCCGCAGCCAGCACGGATTGGCTGGGGAATGCCGAGTCACGCGATTCGCGCAAATTCTGAAGGGCTAAGGATTTCCCCTGGGGCTTGTCGCATTTCCCAGCGAAAGCAGTGCAGTGCAGCACCGAGGTTTGGGAGCGGGCACATCCTGAACCTGGCGCGCGGTGCTGGGGAATTGGGAGGGACAATGGATGCCTCTCCAGCTGGAGTACATCCACAGCAATCTGGAAGCGGCACTCGAACGTGCAGCCACGTGGCTAACCTTCGGTATTCTTGGGACTGACTTATCTTCAAGCGCCACGAAGGCAAAGCACACAGCCTGGGAGGACCTTCTCACTCTGTGGAGAATCCGACATACAGATAAGAATAGCAAAATGCATAATGCTCATCATACATTTTCATCTCATATGCCATGTTCTGAGGGCTGATTCGTTTCACATGCCCAATGCATATTTTTCACCATTTGACATGTTATAATATCAAATCAAGGATATATTGATATCCTTTTATCACCAGCGCACCGCTCACGCTATCATGTGGGTACAATTTCAAGGGTAAATTTCAATTCCATGAAAAAGCGTACCAAATTAGTTTGGGAAACTAGAATAGGATGTATTTATGTCATTTAGGTATCGAAAATTAAATGCATAAAGCGTGTGATTCAAGTGGAAACATTATTTTCTCAAACACTAGGTATAACGAAAGGCAACTCCGACATCCGATCTCACCTTGTTGGGAATTGATGGCGTTAATAGAGAGTATTACGTTTCAGCAATGGGCTGTGGAGGGTCTGGGTTTGTGGGCGTGGCACTGACATGGCAAGGATAGCCTCAAATTGTGGAGCAGATGATGTTCGGTCAATCCATCCGAAAGCTTTTGGCTCATCAGCCCGCCCCTCGTGGACCTCACGTAGGGCATCCCAAAACCACGACACCCTGTGCTCGCGTAGAATTTCCTCATCGAAGCCGTTCCCGTCTGCCCGCTTCTTCTCTGCCTCAAGTGTTGACGTAGCAACTGAGATGTTCTCTTCCACATCACCCTCAAAAGTTGCCACGTGGCAGTATCATGCCTACATGGACCCATCCTACCTGCGCACCCCTTTTGCTCCTCCACAGACCGCGCTCCTTCCGCACTCTCCACCCTGCTAGCTTTCCGCTTTTGCTTCCGCCACTCCTCCCGCCTCCTGCCTGCCAAGAATCCCATGCCAGAACACCTCACCCTCCTCTCCGCTCCCCGCGGGACCAAACCAATCCACTACCACCTCACACGTGGCACGGCCGGTTATCCCTCCTCAACCAGCCTCACAGAGCCTTGTTGCTGGCAGGGTTCCCTGGCTCGCGTAGGCACGTCCATTATGGAACTATCCGCGATTACTTGGAAAGTAGCGCCGCGCGCAGCTAGGAGCCACCTCGCCGCGACTCCGCCTCTGGCTGGTCTGCCTCCCATCGCTCATGCGCTTTGCCCGTGTCCTCCGCAAAGCATCCCTCTCCCTATCCGGCTTAGATAAACATCTGGTCTGCTCGTTGTTCGCTGCACATCGCATTCCTGTTCCTCGGCTTGAGAGCTTTAGTCTCTCGACAAACAGCTCTGCTAGACCGCGGAGCACGAGCCTAAGAAGGTGCCAATTAGTTGTCACTCTCACAAGCCTCTCCACCATGGCTGCTACCGCTCTTGCTCAGGCCGCGGCCCCCGCGGCTCTGACCTCCTCGCTGTGCTCCAGCCAGCCTAAGGCGCTGTCCTCGACCGCCTCTCTGACTGGCATCAAGGTCACCGCTCCCACTTTCTCCAAGAGCAAGCAGGCGCGTCGCAACCAGATCATCGCTTCGGCTAACGCCAAGGCGGCCGCTGCGGTGTCCGCGGAGACTAAGGCCGCTCCTAAGGCTACCAACCAGTATGCCATCCAGGCGTTCACCAACTGGCTGCTGCTGCAGGAGCAGGCTGGGGTGATTGACAACGAGATGACCATCGTGCTGTCGTCCATCTCCCTCGCGTGCAAGCAGATTGCCAGCCTCGTCACCCGCGCTGGTATCTCCAACCTGACCGGCGTGCAGGGCGCGCAGAACGTTCAGGGAGAGGACCAGAAGAAGCTGGACGTCGTGTCCAACGAGGTGAGCGTACTACTGCTGCTCGTATCTCATTCCCCTTCTGCACCGCTATGCAAGCATGGATGCAGTGCCAGTGCATGGTGATGCAGCGTAAGTGGAATAGGGGAAACTGCCCGCCTCCTTGTCGTCAAACGATGAGGTAGGGTGTGTGAGCTTCCAGCTGCATGATCACACACTGTCTCACTCGAGGCAATACGTATTTCCACTTATATGGCACTTCCTTAACCTTTGTTCTGCACTCTTCACTCGTTCATTTTATTGCCTGTCATCTCAGGTCTTCGCCCACTGCCTGCGTGCTAGCGGCCGCACCGGTATCATTGCTTCTGAGGAGGAGGACACCCCTATCGCTGTTGAGGAGTCTTACTCCGGCAACTACATCGTGGTGTTCGACCCGCTTGACGGCTCGTCCAACATCGACGCCGCTGTGTCCACTGGCTCCATCTTCGGCATCTACCGCGAGCCTGAGGGCGGCTGCCTCATCGACCTCGAGGAGGACGCCACGGTTGGTGCCCTGACTTCTTTCACCGTTCCTCCTTTTCATTTAACGTTCTTCAGCACCCGGTATGATACGCATTGTGGTGCGCTGTTTTGCTTATCGTTTATCCGGATATTCTTGCTGCCATTCCTGTGTCTTGCAAATCAGAACCGCTCATCTCTTTCCGCTCGTCTCTTTCCTGTCTCTTCCGTGAGCAGCTTGACCAGATTCAAGCCACATGCGTCACCAATGTGTGCCAGCCCGGCAAGAACCTGCTCGCTGCTGGCTACTGCATGTACTCGTCGTCCACCATCCTGGTGCTCACCATTGGTACCGGCGTGTTCGGGTTCACTCTGGACCCCATGTACGGCGAGTTCGTGCTGACTCACGCGGACATCAAGATCCCCAAGTCCGGCAAGATCTACTCGTTCAACGAGGGCAACTACGACATGTGGACTCCCCAGCTGAAGAAGTACATTGACAGCCTCAAGGTGAGATAATTTTACCTCCTTGTTTGTGTCCAGCATGCGGACGAAACTGGGAAGCATGATGGGAGAGATTTAGCCTGATGTCATGTGAGTTTGTGGTTTGTCTTGGGTGAAGATTTTAGCTGATGAGCGTCTATGGCTGCCTCGCAGCAGTGAGACTCGCTGTTCGCTTGGTCGCCCATTACCTGTCTTGGTATGGTACCTGTCTTCTCACACTACCCATGAATTGAACATTCCAAGTCTCAGTCGATCAGGTGATTTCTCTGCAGTATCTCACGCATCGTTTCTCATCCCTATTCCATTTCCTCCATCAGGACGCCAGCTCGGGCAAGCCCTACTCCGCGCGCTACATCGGCTCGCTGGTGGGCGACTTCCACCGCACGCTGCTCTACGGAGGCATCTACGGCTACCCCCCTGACAGCAAGAACGCCACTGGCAAGCTGCGCCTGCTGTACGAGTGCGCGCCCATGAGCTTCCTGGCGGAGCAGGCGGGCGGAAAGGGCTCAGACGGTTTCCGCCGCGTGATGGACATCATGCCTGAGCAGGTCCACCAAAGAGTGCCGCTTTTTGTGGGCAGCCCGGATGAGGTTGAGAAGCTGGAGAAGTACCTGGCTGAGAAGTAAATAACACGTGCGGTGTTCTTTTCTGTGGGCAGAGTAAATTGATTTGAGATAATACGGGCTTTGCTCTGTTCGTGGTCACAATCGTATAAAAAGGACGCTTGAATCGTTCCAATTTTGAAGCTGTATCACATGGCTTTGATGTGCAAATGTATTGTGAGATGTGGTATGACCTCAATTTCTATGGTATGATCAGCTATCCAGCCAGGGACAAGTGTCACACCTGATGTCCGTTTTGAGGTGCTCGATGTTAACGTAGAAACGAATAATTACTAGAGGTGGAAACCTAGAACAAATACTAGTTTGATTGCACTCACTAGAAGCATACCTCAGTCTAGCCTATAACTTCTACATAGATAATATGTATAAGTTGACACACCCCCTAGGCTAGACAAGGGGTGAAACTAAACAAGAAGCAAACAGCTCAGGGCGGCACTACTAGTCCAACCACTGAGGCAGGGGTCTGGAGACCAGTCAGCAAGAATACAACCAAAACTGAAGCAAGCCAGGGTGGCACTACTAGTCCAGCCACTGGAGGTAAGGCCACAAGGCCAGTCTGACAAGCATATATAATAGAGAGTACACAATCAGGATCCTAACAGGGGAGCAGCTATAGGAACAAGACCAAGCTGTACACAGTGCCGCTGATGATCTTTAGGCGCAAGCGCCTTAGTAAAGATATCAGCTGTGTTGGCACCTGAGGCCAAGTGAACTACGCGGGCCTGGCGGCGCTGCTGTAGCTCGCGCAGGAGGAAGTACCGCAGCTGGATATGCTTCGCTCTGCCCTCAAGCCGAGGCTCCTGACACAGGAGTATCATGGCCCTGTTGTCAGCGTACAGGACCGGGGCAGAGCTAGGCCGCTCACCTAAGTCTGTGAGCAAGAAGGTCAGCCAGCGGAGCTCCTGTGCCGCCATGGCACCAGCGTAGATCTCAGCCTCACAGCTAGACTGAGCCACAGACGACGAGCGAGTGGATCTCCAAGAGATAGCACCCGAACCAAGGCTGAAACAGTAGCCCTGCGACGACCTGAGCGTCTCAGCGTCGTCTGCCCAAGAAGCGTCTGTGTGCCCAGTAAGGACCACTGGCCTGCGTCCTCCTAGCACTAACCCCATGCCTGATGTACTAGCAAGATAACGCAAAACCCTCTTAGCGGCAGACCAGTGCTGAGGTCGGTGTCTGCCTGTAGCCACAAAGCGAGCCAGGATGCTGAGAGGGTATGCGAGATCTGGGCGAGTGCAAGTCATCAGGTATATGAGGCAACCCACCAGCTCTGCGTAGGGGCCACTGGGCTCTACTGGCTCCTCAGGAACGGGAGCAGAGAGCCCATGGTCTACGGGTAGAGGTGTGGGCTGTGCGGAGGAGAACTGAAGACCGAACCTCTGAAGGACCTAACGCACCAAGTGTGACTGGGTGTGAGTGATGGTGCGTGCTGCTCTGTCCCTAGAGATCTGCAGGCCAAGATAGCGACGCAGCTCTCCAAGGTCAGTGCAGGTGTGTCTCTTCAGCAGCTCAGCCTTCACAGAGGCCAGTGCGTCCCTGTCAGGAGTAGCGAAGACCAGGTCGTCTACGTAGACAAGGATGTAGAACGGAGTCTGGCCGGAACGCACAAACAGTGAAGGGTCAGCAGAGGACGGAAAGAACTGCAGGTCTGCTAACGTGGCACGTAGCGTGTCGTGCCACTCGCGGGGAGCCTGACGCAGGCCGTAGACCGGGCGCCTGAGAAGCCACTGGGTCCCAGGAGGGAAGGTACCAGTGAAGCCCTGTGGTCGGCGCAGGTAGACCTGCTCGTGTAGGCTGCCCTGAAGAAAGGCAGTAGAGAAGTCGAGGGAGTGAAGCTCGTAGTCACGCTGTGCTGCTACGTGTAGCAGCGCCCGAAGAGTGGTCATCTTCGGGGTCGGGGCGAAGGTCTGGAAGAAGTCAACCCCCTCGCGCTGACTGAAACCTCTGGCCACGTAGCGCGCCTTGAAGACAGGCGGCTCTCCAGGGGGGCGCTTCACCTTGAAGAGCCACCGACCATCGACTACGTTCACCCCAGGCGGGGGAACTGCGTCGACGTAAGTGCCGGTGGATCTCCAAGATGCCATCTCCTGCTCCATGGCAGCTATCCACTGAGAGGCCCAAGGTCCCGAGGTGGCCTCAGCGTAGGTGCGAGGGGTCGGGATGTCGAAGGCGTCTGGGTCACCCTCAGGGACTAACAGCATGGAGCAGAGATGGGGAGCAGCCTCGGAAAGGAAAGCCAGCTCGTACTGCCTGTCCTCTAGGACGTCACTGCCAAGGGCAGGAGCACCCCCGACGGACAGAGGACGGGCAGGGTCAGAGACCAGAGCGGTAGCGTAGTCAAGGCGGCGGGTAGAAGCGAAGTCAGCGACAGCAGCGACAAGCGCGTCAAGGCGCGAGACAGGAACAGCAGGGTCGGTAACAAGAGAGGCAAGGACCCGAGGGACAAGGGGACGAGCAGCACGGAGGTAGTCAGAGAACGGAGGAGGTGCAACAGCAAGGGACGAGGGAGGAGGGGACGGGAGGAGGGGAGGACGAGACGAGTGGGAACGGAGCAACATAGGGTGGGTGGGCAGGACAGGAGAGACGGGACGAGCACGGGAGGGACGGCGAGCCCAAACGTGAGACGGAGGGGTAGGGTCAGGGGACAGCGGAGGAGACACAGGAGGGGAACGAGGAGGAAGACGGGCCGGAGACGAGTCTGGCGGCGGGAACACAGGACCGTAGACAGGGAGGTCAGGAGGCGGTGGGGGAGACACCGGCGCGCGGTCCGGGGAGGGAAGGCCGAGCAGGCGGAGAGCGGAAACCGTCGGCGACGGCTGCTGCGGCGGCGACGACGGCTGGGCCGGAACTCTCGGACCAGCAGAGGCAGAACGACCGTCGGCAGAACACTCAACAGCAGCACCCCCAGAACCAACACCCCCAGAGCGAGAACCCCCTCCAACACCAGCGGCACCCCCAGAAGCCGCAGGACGAACACCCTCCTCCACACCAGCACCCCCAGGGGCCGAGAGCAGCGGCGGCAGTGGCGGCAACGGCTGCGGCGGCGGCGACAGCGGCGACGGCTGCGGCAGCGACAGCGGCGACGACAGCGGCGACGGCTGCGGCGGCGACGGCGACGGCGGCGGCAGCGGGGTCGGCGACTGCGACAGTGGGGGCGGAGGCACCGGGGAAGGGGGACGCGGCAAGGACGGACCGGGGGTACCACCAGAGTCAGCAGACTCCTCAACGGGGACAACCGACGGGAGGGGAGTGACGTGGGAGACACCAGATGGGGCAGGACGAGGCGGGAGAGGGGCAGGGGCTACCGGGGGAGAGGGAGCAAGGAAAAGGGGGGGGGCAACTGGGAGACCTCGGTGAGGGAAGCGGCGGTAGAAGGAGACGGACTCGTCAAAGGTGACGTCACGAGAGTGGAGGAAGCGGTGAGACGACGGGTGGTAGAAAAGCCAGTCAGACGAGTCCAGGGGGAAACCGAGGAAGACACAGGGGACAGTGCGGGCAGTGAGCTTGTCCGTGCCAGAGGCACGAACGTGAGCAAGGCAGCCCCAGACGTGGAACGCACACGCGTCACCGGGGGACCCGGTCCAAAGGAGGGTCGGCGAAACCTGCGGCCGCTGGGAGCGTGGCCACAGGTTAAGCTGGTGAGCCGCGTAGTGAACAGCGAACGGCCACAGAAAATGGGGGGCATCGGCATGGATCATGGAGGTACGGGCGACCTCCATGACCAAGCCGATGCGGCGCTCAGCAACCCCATTCTGCTGTGGCGAGTCCGGCAACGTGTACGACTGGGTGATGCCCTCCGCACGACAGAACTGTCCAAGCCGACCAGAGGCGAACTCGCCGCCACGGTCGGAGTGGAGACACAACACGGGGAGACCGCGGTGGAGACGCGCAGCCACAACCCACGGGAGAAGAACGTCGGGCACGTCGGCATTCCGCTCCAGGGGAAACACCGTGGTGTAGCGCGTGTAGTCGTCGACGAGCACAAGGAAGTAGCGCTCACCGCGCGGTCCGGGGACGGGGGCAGGGCCCCAAACGTCCAAGTGCAGGGTCTGAAGGGGGGCAGTAGCAGGACGCAGCGAGGAGGAGTGAGGAGCACGGCGGAGCCGACCCTCGACGCAAGGCGTGCACGGTGGCGCAGTCGAGGGAGGAAGGGCAGGGAGCGACGCGGGGAGACCTAAGACAAGACCGTGCTGGGACATGTGACGCAGACGCGGGAGAGCAGGGTGACCTAAGCGGTGGTGCCAGAGAAGGGAGGGGTGAGTGAGGGACCGACACGAGCAAGCTGTAGCGACCTGGGAGGACGCACCAACCGGGGGGGAAGCGGTGTGTAGGGTAAACAGACCGGACACCGGGTCCCGGGGGAACCTCGCAAGGGGGGAACCTGAGACAGCCTCAGAACAGACAGCGAACCGCTCGTGCCCGGGGAACGTGGTGGTGACGCCGAGGTCCTGGAGACAGCCGACACCAACCAGGTTCCTGGAGAACGAGGGAACGTGGAGGCCAGTAAGGGAGCCCGAGGGAACTGCCGGACAGGGAAGGGACGTAGAACTGCGCGCGACGACCGGACCCGCAGAGGGGTCAGCGAGAGAGACAACAGCAGGTGCAGCAAGCGGCGTGAGCGTGGAACGGTCGCGGAAGAAGCAGGCAGAAGCACCAGAGTCGAGAGTGAAGGACAGCGACGCAGTGGCGGAGGCCGGGGACGGAGCCGGTGCAGCGACTAGACTAGGCAACCTAGGCAGTCCTACGCCTGTCGCAGCAGGGGAAGCTAAGCTACACAAGGGTGACACACCTAAACTAGAGTACACAGGGTAGTAAGATCCAGGAACACTAGAAGCGTCAGCATACAAAGCATGCAAAGCAGCACCTATCTGATCCATGTCTAACTCAAAGATCGGCACGCCCTGGCGGAGCAGGCTGTGCCAGTCAGGGAGGTCCGGGGCCGGGCCAAAGCGACGACGAAAAAGATCGTCGAGGCGGCGGAAACAGCGGGCGGTCGGGTGCGGGCGGCGGCACAGAGTGCCGCGGAGAGGCCCGGTCTGAAGCTGGTACTGGCAGGTCACAGCACTGGAGCCGCTGGTAGACGCCAAGCTGCGCGGGCCGCCACCACGGCCACCGCCTCCGGAGGTGCCGGGCCAACCAGGCGGGAGACGAGCCCACGGCTGCGGCGGGTGCTGCTGGGACGACGGCTGCGGCTGGGGCTGGTCCTGCTGCTCTGGGGCTGCTGCTCCTGCCCACCGGTGGTAGTCCCCTCAGGCGGACTACCGTCACCACCACCACGACCACTACCACCTGCGTCACCACCCCTACCTCCCTGGCGGCCACGGCCACCGCGACGCGAGAGCTGCTGCGGGTGGACAGCAGCAGCCGTCTCGGTAAGAGGGGTCGCCGTGGCGACCGCAGCCGAAACGTCAGTGAACGTGCACTGGGATGGGGCACAGCCGTGAAAGATAGAGACTGCCGGCGCACCGCTCGACTGAGCGATAGTGCGCTGGCGAGTCTCGATCTCAGTGAGGGTGTCGACAAAGGCGGTCAGGGTGAGGTCACCCGGGTGCTGGCTAAGAAAGTGGTCGCGAGCACTAGCGAGGCGGTCTGGCAGGCGCATAGCGATAAAATAGAGCGTCATGCAGAAAGGAGGGGGGAGCGCAGTGAGCTGGGCAGCAGTGCTGGCAGTGCGATAGCGAGTCTCTAGGGCACGCAAATGAGTGGCAAAATCTGCGACAGTAGGGAAGGCAGCCAGGTCTGGGAACAGCATCGGAAAGAGCAAGCGGCCAGCAGAAGCGGAGGCAGGGGTGGAATAGCGAGCAATAACGGCGTCTAAATAAGCTTTGGCCGTTTCAACAGTAGCAAAACGCGAGCGCTCAGACACAGGGAGGGCGTGACTAATAGCAACCTGAGCTACTGCATCGCGTGAGTCCCAGACCGCACAGGCCAGCGCAGCAGTAGAGAAAGCCTCACGGTCATCAGAGGAGGGGTCAGCAGGGAGGGGAGTAGGTGCAGGGGGACGGGGGAGCAAGCCATCAGCATGGACAACCAGAGAGTGGCCATCCTGGCGCTGACCTGTAAGCTGGCGGCGAAGATCGGAGAGCCAGGCGGCGAAGTCAACCGCGTGGCCCTCAGCGTCCAGGCGGAGCACAAAGTCAGCCATCGTGCAGGGTCAGCGGCACAGCTCCTCAGCGACACAGCGGCACAGCAGCACAGCTCCTCAGCGGCAGAGGAGCACAGCGGCGCGGGGACACGGCGGCAGCACTCTCCAGTAGGGCAGCAGCTAGGCGTCCCAGCGCAGGCAAGCAGAAGACACAGAGCCCGAGAGGACACGGCAGGCCGAGCAGGGGAGGCGGGCAGGTGCTCTGGGGCCGGGCTGGTGCTGGGAGGGGCCAGGCTGGTGCTGCTGGGGCCGGTCGGGCACGAGGAGGGGCCGGGCAGCGCTGAGGAGAGGCCGGGCGGCGCTAGGAAGGGGCCGGGCGGCACTAGGAGGAGGCCGGGCGGCACTAGGAGGAGGCCGAGCGGCACTAGGAGGAGGCCAGGCGGGCGAGCGCTAACAGCAGGCGCGACAGGGGCCAGCGGGCGCGACGGGGCCTAAGGGGCGCGACGGGGCCCAGCGGGCACGACGGGGCCCAGGGGGGGCGCGACGGGGCCAAGGAGGCGCGACGGGGACCAGCGGGCACGACGGGGCCCAGGGGGGCCGCGACGGGGCCTAACGGGCGCGACGGGGCCCAGGGGGGGCGCGACGGGGCCTAGCAGGCGCGACGGGGCCTAGGAAGCGCGAAGGGGCCCAGCGGGCGCGACGGGGCCTAGGAGGGGCGCGACGGGGCCGAACGGGCGCGACGGGGCCCAGAGGGGGGGGACGCGACGGGGCTTAGGAGGCGCGACGATGCCTAGGAGGCACGACGGGGCTCAGCGGGCTCGACGGGGCATGCATGAACCAGTACGTACTGAGTGACCCCCCAAGATTGGTAGGTGACAGCCATCAAAGAAAAAGCAGCTTGTAAACAAAACAGAACAAAACAGAACAGCAACTTCCAAGCTTCCACAACCAGCAATTAGGATAGGAGAGCAAGGATGAGATGAATAACAAAGGCCAACCCATAGTAAGTTGGCAGCATGAAGCATCATGCTGCTGGGCTACGCTGAAGGTACAACTACAAAAACATGTTTTCTAATCCCCCCACGCAGCAAAGCTAGACCTAGAGTGTTGCAAGCCAACACGGGTTCAGCGGGGTCCAGCATGCCTTGGAGGTTGAGATTGGTTGGGGCTTCTGCTGCTGGCTGGGAGTGTGATGCAGCTTGCGCTGTCATCAGGGGCATGCTTCTGCTGCTGAGCTGATCCAAAACTGGCCCTGGTTTGTATGCAGCTCCTGCAGAGATACCAGCCAAAAGTCCTGTCTGCTGCTCCCTTCCGGTCCTTCTCATTCAACTGCTGCGAATGACTCTTGTCTCGTGCATTGCTAGTAGCCCAATGCCCCTTGGTGCATGTTGGTTGGTGCTGCCGCTGCCGAAAGAAAGTAGGCCAATGACAGCGAGGCGGCCCCCTACAGCCTGTCCATTCTCATTTCTCTCATGCCAGCACCGTGCCTGCCTTGCACCAACCATCCAGAAGCCCACAGCTTTCTCAGAGGAGCTTCTCCGATGCTTCCTTGCAGTGCACACCGAGCTTGGCCAGGGCAATGAGAGCTGAAAGCAGGGCGAGGGATGAGGGGGATGAGGGATGGGGGAGATGAGGGGGACTAGGGATGAGGAGGGAACGGAGGGTGAAGGGGAGGGAGTAGGGTTGAAGAGGAGAAGGGGGGTGGGGGTCCCCCAGCGGAGGAAGGAGCAAGAAGGTGTGGAGTGCGGGGACTGCGAGAAACAAGGCAGACGGAGTGAGGGAGGGAGAGTAAAGCTAGCAAGAAATCTAGATACGGACCAAGCAAATGCGCAAATAAAATCACAGGGTGCAGGGTTGGGCTCACAGGGTGCATAGATGTCGCTGGTGACTGGCCTGAGCACCCCACGCTGCTGCACCTTCCCTTGCAGGAGAAGCTATCAGGGGGAAGAATCATGGGAAAGAAGGCAGGAGTAAGGGGTAGGGGGGGGGGAGGGGACAAAAGGGAATGGAAGAGACGTAGGGGAGAGATGGGACAGTGCGCACTAGAAGAACGTGCTCTCAAGGTGTGTATAGGGAAAGCTATGCGTCTCTAAGGTGCGAGTGCCCTCAAGCTGTGGGTGCATGTAAATGTGCCCTAAAACTCTGCAAGCGTGTTTGTGCGTGCATGTGTTTGTGCGTGCATGTGTGTGTGTGTGTGTGTGTTTGTGCGTGCATGTGTTTGTGCGTGCATGTGTTTGTGCGTGCATGTGTTTGTGCGTGCATGTGTGTGTGTGTGTGTGTGTTTGTGCGTGCATGTGTTTGTGCGTGCATGTGTTTGTGCGTGCATGTGTTTGTGCGTGCATGTGTTTGTGCGTGCATGTGTGCATGTGTGTGTGTGTGTGTGTGTGTGTGTGTGTGTGTGTGTGTGTGTGTGTGTGTGTGTGTGTGTGTGTGTGTGTGTGTGTGTGTGTGTGTGTGTGTGTGTGTGTGTGTGTGTGTGTGTGTGTGTGTGTGTGTGTGTGTGTGTGTGTGTGTGTGTGTGTGTGTGTGTGTGTGTGTGTGTGTGTGTGTGTGTGTGTGTGTGTGTGTGTGTGTGTGTGTGTGTGTGTGTGTGTGTGTACGTGTGCGTGTGTGGGTGCATGTGGGCATGTCTCCTCACCACAGCGCCGAGAGCAGCGGGCAGGCCGACAGTACGAGCCATGGCAGACACGCCCCCAGACGCCACCTCCCCAAACGCCAGCAGCGTGGCCGAGTGCTTCTCCTTCGCACGCCCGTCCGGGAATGACGCCTCCAGCTCGTGGTGCAGCAGCACCATGTCCTGGCAGCGGAGAAGTGTGGGGGGGGTGGGGGAGAAGGGGGCGGGGGGGAGGGGGAGAAGGGGGGGAGGGGGGTGGCAGGGGAAGGAGGGTGGGTTGAGGAGTACTGGTAAGCACGGAGCTGTGGCATGCCATTGGGAAACGATGCCTCCAGCTCGTGGTGCAGCAGCACCATGTCCTGCCAGGGATGGGGGAGGGAGGAGGGCGGGGTGAGGGGGAGGGGGAGGGGGAGGCGAATGGGAAAGGCGTGTGCAGCTAGGCCCCCAGCTGACGGACTGATTGCGCGGTTGTCCTGAGGTGGGGGATGGCGGAAAAGAATGCCTCCAATTCCTGGTGCAGCAGCACCATCCGCTCCACTTCCCCTCTCCTGCCGAGGTGAGGCGGGGGTGGGTGGTGGTATGTGTGTGGGGGGGGGGGGGGGGGGGGGGGGGGGGGCGGGCGGAGGGGGGGG